ATAGAAATTTTTTAAGCATACTTCGATCAACTCGATATTTAAAAATCGAGAAAAATTCTAAAATTCAACGATCAATAATTTTCCATGGTTAAAAATAAAGAAATTAGAAACTACATTCGATAATTAAATATATCTCGAGAATTCCACTAGATTCCACACTGCTATCAAAGCATCATAAAAAGAGAAGGAAACAAAATCTTCAAGAACCATAAAAAAAAAAAAAAGAAAGAAAGAAGGAAAATAATCGCGAGAAAAAACTATACACCCTTGTACCATTCTCCTCCGATTTTCCGGTGAGAAACCTCCTCGCAAAACGAGGCGTAGTATTCTCGAGCGAAAAAGCTCGAGAGGGAGGAAGAGGGACAGGAATTTTTTTTCATAATTTGCAAGCACCCTCGGTTTATGCAGGATAGCTTCACGGCTCTGTTCTCGCCTCATTAACTGCGAATCAGCGGAACATAATACCGAGCCGACAGAGAGAGAGACAGAGAGAGAGAGAGAGAGAGGGGCGGATGGAAAAAAAGAAGCTTTCCAAGGGGGATGGACAGGACGAGAGAGGAGGAGGAGGAGGAGGAGGAGGGTGGAAAAAGAAGAGGACGGGACAAGCGCGAGACAGAGAGGAGCGACAGGAGGGGAGAAAGAGGAGAATTTTCGGGACACGGAGTTATCAGGTGTGAGGGACTTGGAGGAGGTAATAGCCTGTGAAGGGAAGGGGGCGTAGATTGTAAAATCGATGAGGTTCTTTCGAGTCTGGCGCGAGCCAGGTTCATCGAGGTTTCTTTCGAGGCCATCGAAATCGAGGGATCGCTTCGTTTTTTCGTTAGCTTAAAACACGACAAATTTCCTCATGGAACCGATCTTCTACTTGGAAGAAAGAAGAACTCGAGGATTGGGGGAAGTTGTTTCGCGCGTGCTGCGAAACGAGAGACGGATCTACAAATGGGAATAAACTCGGTTTAGAAGAACCGATCAAGTTTAGATCAGGGATGTTGATCATTTCTGTGTCAGATTATTTCTGTATAATTGATCAATTAACTGATACATTTTTGGGTTACAGGGATATTGTACGAATGGAGTTGAAGATGGTCCAGTGAATTGGACTTTTTTTGTATTGAATAAAAAATTAATTGGTTGTCGATCGAAATTCATTTTTGGATTATTGGTGAATATTCACAGGAGGAGAAATTTTTTTTAAGCTTAAGACAGGTTATTCTAGAGAGAAATGTTATAATTCATCTTTTTAAAATTTATGAATTTATGTAACTAATTTAATTTCTTTTTTTTTTCAGCCAATCTTTCGACTCCTTCACTGTTTTTCAAATTGTATGTGAAATATCTAAGAAGATTAAGTATCTAAGAATCGTTAAGTAAGAAAAATTGCATTTTCTCGAAGTATCATTGCGTTAAATTGGTGTTTCAAAGGTGTACCAATTTTTTTCCTTTCAGTTTAACGTTCGTCAAGATAAATGTTTGCCCGGGATAAATGATGAATTTCGAAAGAAAAATAATGGACGGTACGGATCGGTTTCAAGCACGATGCACGAAATAATTAAAAGTTTCAATCCGTTCGAGTGTACAGTCGATGAATCCTTTCAGATTTATCGCGATTTAATCCGATGCAGCTGCTCGCTGTTCCTTCGTTGTCGCAGCTTTTGTTTCCCTTTTTCTCCTTTCTTTTTTTCTCTCTCTTTCTCTCCCTCCCTCGTTATTTCATCGTGCTTCACGTAAAACCAGGTGAACAATTCATAACGAGATTCTCGTAATGATAATTACGAAGTCGTGATGCCAGTGAGACGAAATTCATTCTCGCGTAATGGATTACTATCGTTAAGTACTTTTCATCTAGATTTACGTAAAACTTCTCCCTCGTTGAATTGTGTTGTAGGCACTTTTCAGATTAATGGAATCCAGAAAAGGTTGTAAAAGTTATAGCTTCGAGTAATTTACATTTAAGGATACTTTTAATTGAACAAAAAAAAAAAAAAAAAAAAAAAAAAAAAAAAA